AAAAACCCCCGAAAGGAAAACCCCCCCCCCCCCCTCTTCAGTCAGAGGCATATATTCCTGTTCGCCCAAGAGGACGCAGACATTTGGGAAAAGTATCCAAGATTGGACGCATCTTTGTTATAAGTGTAGAAAAAGTTGGATCTGTCTTTCGAGGACATGGGGGCTCTGAAGGATCCCATGGACAGGCGTTCAAACCAGGCCTTGCGATTACCTGCGTAGCCAGGACTGTGGCTGTTTGGTTGGCGCAGCTGAATATGCCACTACTAGGGAGCAGATCCTCGACTCCCTGCCAGTGTTATCCAAAGCGGTAGCTTATATAGCAGATGCCTCGACCGATTCGGTTAGATATTCGGCACAGCATGGCTCTAATTAATTTGATTAGGAGAGCCCTGTGGTTTAAGGCTTGGTCGTGGGATCAGGTCCCCAAGTCTAAGCTGTGTGGACTCTCCTTTAAGGTGGAATTACTTTTTGATCAGGAACTGGAGACAGTTCTGGACAGGTCAGCAGACAAGAAAAAAATGGTTTCCGGCCCCTAGAAAATAGCAAAGGAAAATGTATTTTTGGGGGCCAGCGCAATCAATATCTTTGGAAAGGCAAAAAGCAGGATCAAACAAAAAAAGAAAGGGTAAGGGCATTTTCTTTTTCAATCCACCCCAACCCTGTAAGACATAATGGCGATCAGGCCAAACTGTGGGGGGAAGACTGGGGGAATTCCTCTTGCATTGGGAGATTGACAGGCAACAGGGTCATTTTGGACCTGATAAGGTCAGGATACTAGATAGAACTGTCACGGTATCCCCCATCAACCAGAGACATTTTTAGCCACGGTGGATCTCGGGGATGCATACCTACACCTCCGTATCTGGAGCGCGCCTCGGAGGTTCCTGAAATTTGTGGTGAGGGGACCAGCAGGGATTCTTCATTTTCAGTACTAAGCACTCTCCTTCGGCCTCTCTACTTCCCCAAGACAATTCATGAAGGTGCTGGCAGAGGTGTTAGTTCCCTTGAGGAAAATTGAGATAGGTGTTATTCCTTATTTGGATGACCTTTTTATTCTTTGCCCAGTCGGAGAATCTTCTCCAACAGAAGCTTACTTACGCCACAAATCACCTAGAAGAGCTAGGAACACACGTGTCAAGGTTATTGGGATCGGCCCTGTAGCAGAGAGCTAAAAAGCCATACATTTAGTGCTTTAACGCTTCAAACCTATAATCAGGGAATTACATAAAGTGGTGTACATAAACAAGCCAGGGGGGTGAATCTCAATTCCTTATGTCTTGACCGAGGGCATTTTCTCATGGGAAGAGAACAAACCTACTGTCAATATTGGCAGCCCACCGACTTGAAATTAGATCCTTTGCCAGATGCCCTCAGCAGGAAGGTACTGAGACAGAATGGTCCCTAGATCGCCAAACATTCCTAATGATAACTCAGAAATGGGGACGGCCAGATGTGGACCTGTTTGCATCCAGCCAAAACAAAAAAGTTGTACAAATTTCTCAGACAGCGACTGGGGCTGGATGCTTTTTCCCATCCCAGGAAATGTCATCTAGCTTATGCCCTCCGCTCCACCTACTACCCACAGTTATTCAAACGTTACCGGGGGAGAAGACTCAACTGATTTTGATAGCACCCTTCTGGCCGAAGAGACCATGGTTCTCGGTCCTTCAGGAATGGAGTCAAAAACCTCCTTGGACACTACCAACAAAGAAGGATCGGTTACACCAGGAGCAGATATTCCATACGCAAGTGGAAGCGCTAAGGCTGGCAGCTTGCTTTCTGAAAGGAACAATTTAATCTGCAAGGGCCTGTCGGACAAGGTGGTTTCAACCTTGCCTTAAGTGCAGGAAGCCTTCCACTTCGGCAAGTCACCAGTGTGGAAAGTGTTTTCTAGATGGCGAAATACAAATTCACATAGAAAAACCTCTACAGTCGCTTCAGTATTGGACTTTTTACAAGAAAAAAAGTTTAGCTAGTAGTACTTTGAAAGTACAGGTAGTCGCACTTTCTAATGTTTTAGATGTTAGGCTAGCAGAGGACCCTCTAATCAAGAGGTTCTTTAACCCCTTCATGACTGAGGCCTTTTTTTCATTTTTTGTACCCATGTTATATTCCACATTTTAGGCCTGAAAATTACTTAAAACCCCCCAACATTATATATTTTCTGAATGCCAAGACCCTATAGAATAAAATGGTGGTAGTTGCAAATTTTTATGTTGCGCAATATTAGCGCAACTCCTTATTAAACCCCAATATTTAGTGAAAAATTTAATTAAATGCCCCAAAACACAACAAAATG